TAAAGAACCGACTATTAATTACTGCAATTGAATTCAGATTGGAGGCTTGTTGTTTTCGGTTGGAAAAATAATATTGTTGATTTAAAGACTCAATGTTTAGCCAGACCTCAGAAACTTTAAAACATTACTAACTTCGAATCTTTTGGACTATAAAAAAGACACTTGAGCTATGTATTTCACGATGAGTTGTTGAATAAAATTTGTATTTTCTTCTCAAACTTATAAGTGCTCGTTAGATGGTAATTTTGTGAATGTAGTAAAGACTTAAGAACTTTAGACAGATGTTTTACTTTGTACTAATTTGGGAACTTAGATATTCAATTTATTGACTTTTACCATTTTTCTTATAATCAAGATACTTTGTAATTAGTTTTGCATATATGATTGCGATCTCTTCAAGTTTTTTGCTAAATTGCCATGTTTTTCATTTGTTCTCAAATTTCTTATAAAATTTGAGATTTAACCTCATTTAAATTATTATTTATAGAGAAATGGATTTTTTTCTACTTTTGCATCAAAGAAAGCTAGCCTTCATCAAAACAAAAAGTTGAAAAAAAATGTGATTTGTCATTTTTGGTGTCTCTTTATGCATCTTTCCTTGTGTTCATGTTAGTGAAACCCAAAACTTAAGACATCCTTATCATAGAGTACAATCAAAATATTTATATTTATATAATATATTTATAAAGAAACATACAAGTCAAGTCCAATCACTACAGAATGAATTATTTGAAATTGTGTTTCTTTCATTCGATCATGTAATATATAATTTTTAGTTGATCTCATTAGGTGATTAAAATATAGCTGGCATGAAGCTTATCTTCTTTTTCATTTTGAAATATATAAATTCATTATTTTGAGCTTTACATAATATTCTCTCCTCATTCACAAATATGAGTCTCTATGATATCCTTTTAACTCAACAACTGCATACATATTTTAGCTCTATAATCCTTGTTCGCATTTTCAAGAATGCCATTAAAATTCACGTTGAAAGCATAAATAATCAGTGCTATTATTATCACGACCCGGCCCGGGGCTTGAAATTAACCAAAACGACAACAAAAAATTGGAGGAAAGAAATTAAATTTTTTTCATATTTTTTTCTATAACTATTAACAAATGAAAGAGCCACTGATCAAATCAAATTAAAAAAATATATTTAAATTTACCTTGTTATTGATTTGTCCGCGTCTTCTATAAATATTATCTCTTAAATTGCTCATCTTTTAATCAATTAGTTAACTTGAAAGTTAGTTTAAAATAATAATGAGTTAAACAAACCAGTGAATACTCATATTTTAAAAATATAATAATACAAAGAAAAAACAAAATAAAATGCATGTCAGTTAAACTTTTAATAATCAATATTAACATTTGAGATGCTATCAATAAATTTTATTATATCAATAACATATTAATATCATTTTATATCTATACAACCGTCACAGGAACACTGTCTAAAAATTATACCACTTAGGTTACTTCAATATCAATATCATTTTTCATATACGTGTATGGGTACATTAGTGTCTCCCACTAGTACCATCAAGCGGTGACTCCATCATAGTTAAGCATGCAAATACAAGCATACTATAAAAATATCGCATTTTTAATAATAAATATTTCATTCTCATTTGCATAGTAATCAATACTATTGTACAAGATTCAATGATAATTTCAACAAAGCTAAGCACACATATTATTCTTACAATAAGAACAAAATTCAATGAAACCATACATCGTGTGCACGTGGCACTATAACAATAATACTAAATGCATTTAGTCAAGAAGAAACAAAATATTACTATAACAAAAAAATAAGTACTCATCTCCATCACTGATGATTTCAAAACATTCTCTTCACTTATCTCCAATGAGAAACCTAAAATCAAATGCATAAAAAATTATTATTAGTTTATTATATTTTAATCTTATTATTAAAAGACAATTTTCATTTATTTGACCCTTTGATGTATCATATTATTTTAATTATTTTTTTATTACTATCCTAATTGTTATCTTCATTTAATTATTTCTTTTAAATAATTTAAGCTTAAAATACTGATAATAGAGTTGGTTCTTCTGGTTTAACTTTCTAATCACTTTATATAATCTGTATCTTTTCGATTAGTCATATAAACATACATACAATTACATTTATATTGTGTACCAATTTTTTACTAATTAAACAATTAAAACTTAAATAAAATCAAACTCTAAACATTTTTACTATAAAACTTCTTTACCTTAAAACCTGATTTATTTAAAACTTATTATTAATAATTAGTACAATTAAATTTATTTACCTTACCTTCAGTCTTTCCTAAACTCGGCTTGTCCCGCACAAATTTCATCTTCTCTTCGTTCTCCTTCGGCATCAACACTTCCTCTGCACGCACAATCTGGATTGAACACATGATTTCCTAGCTTCGACTCCCTCCCGCATGAGTTGCTACTACGGTCGACGCCTCCTTCCTTCTGCCGCTCTTCTCCTTTTCGGCTTCAACACCCTCCTTCCTCACGCTTCATCCTTCTCACAACTTCTTCCTTTGCGCTTGAACGAGCTCTCGCACGTTAGCCGCTAGAAGCTCGATGTTGCCTCCTCGCATAAGAACTCCTTCGATCGAACCCACACGGGGCCTCGACTCTACTGGTAAGTTCCTGCCAGTTTTGTCGATTTATACGGCGAAGTTAGTTGTTCGATTTCCCGACCTTATCGCTTCTTCTCTTATCTCTTCGACTTCCTGACCTTCTCGATTCGTCTCCACTTTGCTCGACTCCTCACTTCCATTTCTACGATTCTTCGTTTCCTATTCGCTGGGTAACCGTAACGGGACCGTTACAATCTTCCCACTTAAAAAATTCCTCTTCGAAATTTAAAAATGGACCACAAGTCACATCTCATTAAGTAGGTCAATATTAGATATCCATAAATTTTCTATCGTACTCCCTTCTCTTATAATTTTGGATGTATCATTATTCTTGGATGGATAAAATTATTAAATTTTTAATTTTTATTAGTATTAAAGTTTTAGTTCTACTCAAACGAAGGCCTTTAGACTCCAATGCAGACCTTCATAATTCAAGTTTTCTCTGAGTTCTTTCTCTAGTCTTATCCGCAAGAAGGATATCATTAGTGAAAAACATACAATAAGGTACATCCTGCTTTAAATATCTAGTAAGAGCATCTATAACTAAAGCAAAAGGATATGGGCTTAAAGCCGATCCCTGATGTAATCCAACACGCTGTATGGTCTAAATACAGTGAAAAGTATGGAAGAACCGCTACACCGACGCTCGAGCATAGTGTCAAATAAGCAAGACTTTTCACATTACAGACAAATGCAAGTAAAAAAGTTAGTCCATAAAACTAATATGAGGATAAGATCTTAGAATATATGTGCTTTGACAGGTAAACTAATGTAACTAGTTGATATTATGATTCATATAAACATAAATATCTTATGTATTCAAGAAACCAAATGAGTTGAAGAAAATACTAAAGAAATTGATAGCTTAGGTTTTAAATTTTGATATTCCGGTAAGTGTCACACTACAAATAGTATAGACGTAATTATAGATAAGAGTTTGAAAGAAAATGCTGTAAAAATTAATAGAATTAGAGATAAAATTATAACCCTCAAGATTATTGTTGATACTATAATTTTTAATATTATAAATATTTATGCTTCTCAAGTAGATCTAGATATAGACTCCAAAAAAGTATAGAATCACCTTGAAGAATTAATACAAATGACACCTCTTGAAGAAAAAAAATTTTATAAGGAGATTTAAATGGACATGTTGGTAGAGTGTAATAAGATTTTAGAAATATTCATGGTGACTACAATTTTAGAATGATTAATGAAGAATGTAAAGTCATATTAGATTTTGTTTTATCGTATGCTTTGGTTATTGCTAATACTTTATTCAACAAAAGAGATTAGCATATTATTACTTATAAGAATGGATCTAATAAAATACAAATTGATTATTTTCTTATGAGAAAAATAGATAGTCGAGAATGTAAATATTGTAAGATCATTCCAAGTAAGGATTTAAGTACTCAATGTCGATTATTAGTTCTTCATTTTAAGATGTTGAATTCAAAAATAAAGAATACTAAGAAACATTGTCATAAAACTAGATGAGGACACTTAAGAGACACAAATAAAATTACTTTTATGAGTAAATTTTAAGATTTCAAGATTTGGGATGTTCATGAAGAAATAAATTCTATGTAGGATAAAGTAAAACAAGATTAAATAAGTGACAAAAGATGTACTTGGAGATTCAAAAGGAAAAGCTTCCATGAATAAAGAAGTTGGTGGAATAATAATATGCAAGAAAAGATAAAATATAAGAAATTATGTTATAAAAATTGGTTTAGATGTAAACGTTTAGAGAACTGGGAAAAAAATAAAATGACTTATAGAGAGTTTAAGTGAATAGTCAGTGACGCTAAAAATTCTATTTTTAGTGATCTTTATAATAGAATAGATACTAAAAAGGGTGAAAAATATATGCATAAACTAGCTAAATAAAGAGAAAATAAAATTGAAGATTTCTCTCCTCTCTTTGGCTTCTCGACCTTCTTAATTCGTCTCAACTTTGCTCGACTCCTCGCTTCCACTTCTATCGTTCTTCGCTTCCTCTCCCCTAGGTAACTGAAACGGGACCATTACAATTACATTCTGTTTTAATTACTTCGACTGACAGTAACCAACAAGAACAATAAAAAATACTTAACTAGATCGTGCAAGATTTTTGTGTGTGTGTGTGTGTGTGTGTGTTTGTAGAAGTCGGCTTACAAAGTTGGGAATATATTGGAAAGCATTTGAAGGCCTAAACGGGTAAAAAACAACATTATAGGGTTTTAATTTGTCAGGCCATTACTATGGAAACTAGTTAGCTCACATTTGAGAACACCCCTGAACAAAAAGAGACAATGAAAATGTGGCTATAGATAACTTTCAAAAATAAATTGACAAACTAACCTCAGATGAACCACTACTAGAAGTTCCAGCTCCAGAAGTTGATGATGTTTCTATAGGACCAGGACAGACAACTGTTATTTTGATGCCTTCAGAATATAACTGCATTAATCCAAAGAATATTTATAGGACAATAGATTGGTTAGCTACTATACATCAAATGACGCAATAAAAAATAATTCAATGATAAAGTTGGCGGACAATAACAAAAGAACAGGCAAATCACTTTAGGTTCTTGTGCTCTAGATTAACTCATACAAATGCTAACATTTTTTAAACAACTTACATATAAAGCCACTATAATTCAAAGCCGTACACATTATTCCTACAAAAACCTTCTCCATCAGCTCAAAATTTCTGATTTCTCACTCATATATAATTATGCCCACACACAAAAGTCCATTATAATTCAAAGCCGTACACATTATTCCTACAACCACCTTCTCCATCTGCCCAAAATTTCCGATTTCTTGCTCATCTATAATTATGCCCACACACAAAAGTCCACCAATACCGCACACTACCTCCTCCTAATATCCTCTCTAATATCACCCCCATCTTAAGAGTGAATTGGGGTGAAGCCTAGGATGCTAACTTCTCATTTCTCCTCCCACAATAAAATTTGTTTAAAATGTAATAGCTTTAAATTTAGTGTTGTAAAAAAAGTAGAAGTTGAACACAATAAACCACATATAGCGTTATGAAAGTCGCCTACTCTTTAATCTTTATTGTCCAAAGAAGAAGTTGACCAAGATTCACAGAAACCACAAACCGCGTCAGCCACTTGATCCTAGTCAAACAATCGACTCTGATACCACTTGTTAAGCAGTGTGAACTAAAGAGGCATAAAATTTGTGCCTCTTCCACTCTTTTTTTTTCAACAAAATTGTGCATAAAGATCAAACACTGAATATTTCAACACCAATGAATTTTTTCAACTATCACATGTAGGACAGAATCCAATACTCTCACGTGCCTCAAAAATTTATGTCAGAGCTCCTAACACCAACAATCATTCTCATGTGGCCTGGAATAAACCATCCTAAGGCTTAGAATTTTTGGAGTAGTCTTCTAATATTCCTTGGAAACCTTAGGCATTATTTTGGAGGACTTTAGAAAGGTAGTGGATTGTTTAGGGTCAGCTAAACCACCATGATAATTTATTGGCTGATTTCTTGTCTGCATGAATTAGAACAACTAGGGTTTACAAATGGAGAGTCCAATAGACTTATAAACACTTGGAGATGATGGAGAAATTTTTAAAGAATTGATTTGGATTAGGGTGGAATTTTTCTAGGGTTTTTTGTTGGGTTGATGAAGCCAAACCGAGACAAGATCTTCAAACCATGTTGAGGCTGATAGCATTTAGGTTGTCTTTGAACAACTAATGTATTCAAATGAGAACGGCCAGAAGGACTTCGAACTTCAAATCACTGGGAGATTGTTAAGGGATGTTTGTAGATTATAATTGGAGTTTTGTGGAACTTTTCAAGTGATTTTAATAGGTTAGAAGAGATTAAAATCGACACTTGGTATGGAGAGTCTAGTCTAGGCCAATTCTAGTAAGTAAAACTAATATTTTATTTTCTAAAAGGAAAAGGTAGGGATTGACCATGGGATGTCAGGGGAGATGCAGAGGTTCATTAGTGTTGAATTTAATCAATAATTACAGAAAAAAAAAAGAGTTGCAAGATTAGAATCCCCCACCAAAGGAATTCACCGCGGCTTAGCTCCAAGGAAAGAATTGTTTACACCAATAATAGCAAATTTCATTCCAAAATCACATTAATACTAAAACATTCAAAATAATCAATCTTATTCCACGGGCATTGACCTTTAAATTCAAATTTCCCTTTAAAGGAGGGAGTTGGTTCCATGTCTTAAGGTAGTTGAAGTAGTTGATTGGTTAAGCTGGTCAAACCCCTTATCAAGAATGGCAAAGTGACGTGGCCACTTAGGGCTAAAGCAGTATCTGAAGTTCTCCATGAACATCCCTCAACACAGGCAAACAGTTCTATTGGCTTCCAAGTTAATATTTCTTCAAGAACAAATCTAAAACAAGAGCTAAAGTTGCCACTGTCCAAAATTATCATCTTGAATGTCTCCTGTGTAATTTTATGGCTTCATAATACCTTTAGAGCTTAAATTATGTCCATAAGACTCTTACAAGTTCACATAATATATAATATATCTACCAGTACATAACACATCCATAAATTACAGCACATCCACCTAAAACACAATAAATCCATAAGGTGTTTATTCTTTTGTCAAAGATCTAGTAAAAGGCTATGATGCACTGCATCGTATTCTCCCTCAAATGGAAGCTTTCAACATCTTCAACTATCATGCATTAAGAGTTACCCAGTCATATGTAGCAGTCACAGGAATTACTTACACTTTAACAGTTGTTTAAACATCTTAGTAAACAACTAAAATCAAAGAGAATCACAAACTGCATATCACTCAATCACAATCGAATCATCGACTTTAAAAACGCTTACTAGGAAATGCAAACTAAAGGTAAGAAAAAGTTAAGCATGATACACCACTTATTTTCAACCTTAAAGCTTAATCTTAAAATAAAAAACAGTTACTCAACATTTCAATGCAAAACTATTCTTCTAACTATCAGATGTAGGACTAAGCATTAATACTCTCGCATGCATTAACAAGAGGGCTCATCATTGAGGGCAAAAAATTATATAGAATATTGTGTAAGGGGGAAAAATCTCGAGGACAAAAGAATTTTGCATGGTGAACATGGCAATCTCATGAGGTAAGAGATGATGAAATTTAATGGTCGAAGATTGATGATATTGCACTTCAAGGATCCAAAAATATCAAAAATATAACTTAATTACCTAGATATAAGATTTACAAATGTAGTGGATTATGTTGCATGCAATTTTCCCAAAAAAAAAGGAGGGGGGGGGGGGGGGTGGGGGGGGGTTGAAATGATCACTCCCACTTTACAAGTGCATTTTTGGGCACTTTGAGGATACAAGCATTGAAATTTTCAGCTCAAGTAAATAAAATCAATAGTTAAATGAAAATATACTTGGGAACATTTCTTAACAGTCAAATGTAGATAATACTTCAAATTTCCATGAGTTTAAACAAGACAATTAATGCCAGGCAAAATTAACAAATTTCCATTCTCAAGCATTCAAATAACTGGCAGAAACAATACCTCAGATCGCAAAGTGTGAAAATATCCATTGAGAGCATTCTTGGACGCTGAATATATCGCCTGCCCTGGTGCAGGGCACTTACCTGCAGCACTACTCATATGAAAATAAGATTCAATTACAATTTGAGAAAATCTTTATGCGAGAATCATAAATCAATTCATAATCATCTTATCTTTAACGTACCACAATAAAATGGCCTCGTCTTTTTTTAAGCATGAAAGGTGCAAGAAGCTTTGTAAGAGTAATAGTTCCCAATACAGTAATGTTGAATGTGGTCTAATTGAAGAAGACGTGCAAGTCAAACTAACGAAAAACTTAATGCTAGCAAGTAAGCAGTAAAATAAATTAATACCTGAATCCCCTCCTCAGTTTCACCCACAGCTTTTCTCTTCTGCAATCCAAATAAACAAATTAAATAGATTAAGTTGTTTAAGATGGTGACTACCTATCTCTGGTAAGGAAAAATAAATCATGTCATCATACTGCAGAGACACCATTAGAAACCTCAACTTATAATTATGAATTAATTTCATCAGGAGTGCAAATTTAAGCTTAATAAAAAACTAGAAACACTAACCGGATGCTCAAAGGCTGCATTATGTACCATATAATCGACACCAGAACCAGAGAAGAGGGATTCAGCCTTCTGAACAGCAACTTTCAGAGCTTCTTCACCAGATGCCAAATCCAAAGGCAGTATCTCAATACAAGAACCAGGATGCTTGCCTAAATATCAACAAAAAATAAATGACAATTAGATAAAAGCTCTATTCAAGCTCATGTTTGTAGTACAGAACATATTGTACTTGCCAACAGTTTCAATTTTAACTCTCTCAAGCTCTCCTACATTACGTGCAGAAAGTATCAACTTTGCACCTAAACTTGCAAATTGGCCTGCAAGAGCTTCTCCTGAAAATGTGAGAGAAATATAACAAATATTAACATGCAGCTATCCTCCTCTTCTTAAAGAAAAAATATTGAGAAAAGTAATGACTCACTCTCAATAATGAATTAGTGTTGCAGCACAAAAATAACTATTTAGAGTTTGTTCATATTGAGTTCAAATTTACTTCAGTTTTTTTTTTTTTTTTCATTTGAAATTAATCATAGCAAAGCTTCATATTGATTCAAAGTTGAACCCGAAGCAACTTCTAAAATGTCCAATTTGTCAAGTGATGAAGTTAAAGATCAAGCGATCATGACCTACAAAATTATAATAAAAAAGGATATTTACCTGGCTCCCGAAATGGATTATAAAATACTCAGTCTATGACCCAGCAACAATGCTGGCACCATCACCAAAATTTTTACTCAAAACAAGAAAACCAAAACTTAGTATGCTGACTACACCCATCACTATACTTATGTCAGGGAAGCATTTTGTTTGCTTCGACTTGAAGTTAATCAGCAAACAAAGGTCCAGTTAGATGTTCATGGATTGAGTGTGTATGCTACTTATCAACCCACCTTCAAATGCACAATGAACCTTTCATAATTTAGTAGTTTCTGAGTTGAATCAAATCCTGTCAGTGTCATGAATTTGTTTCCTAAAATACACAGTTTTATGGTTCAGCCCAGTGAGGACTAAGCTTCGACAAATATGTAATAAGTCATAACATCTACTAGGTCAATGGAAAGTCGTAAAATTTCAAGTGGTAAAACTAAATGTTTGCTTGGGATTAGGGTTGTCAAAAAAGTGCGTTGTTCGCGAACAGTTCGTGTTCTGTTCGTCAATGAGTTCGTGCTTGATTCGTTCGATGAGTAAACGAGATGAATGTGAACAATTTTTTTCGATCGGTTAGCTAAACACGAACAGTGATGCGTTCGTTTGTGTTCGAATTGTTATTGTTCGAAATATAAAATAATTTAAAATAATTATATATAAAAAAATTTATGATATTTTAAAAAATTAAATTTTATAAATTATAATATATAATAAATTAATAATAATAACATATTAATATACTATATTAGTAATATACTAATATAGATATAAATGAACACGAACGGTGACTTCACAAACAATTTCGAACTCGAGCTTATTTCAAACAAACTAAATTTCAAACGAACTGAACACGAACACAAACTCTGTTCGTTCGTGTTCGGTTCGTTTACAACTCTACTTGGATCACTTTTGTATTTTTATTTTTGTTTTTGTTTTTAGTGTAAAAACATATTTTTTTGGTACATTTTTTGATGCTTTTATTTTTTATTTTAAAAAATGAATTAATTTGTTTTTAAAAACACTCAAAAGCACCTAAAAGTTTTTTAGAATGTTTTTAAAAATAAATAATCATGTTATAACATACTAAACATGTTTCTTTTTATGCAACAATAAACAAAATAAAACAAAAACAAAAAAACAAAAAATAAAAAATTACAAGTGATCCTGAACGTTCCCTAATAGTTACTTTTTGTTAGGCTAGTTGCTCAAATCAAACTCAAACAATTTTTTTATGAAATATGAACATATGCCATGTAACCTGGCCAACATAATATACAACTTATTTTCATAATTATTTGGAAACAAATTATACTCATAAGAGCTTACTTGATCAATATAATATACAGGATGTGCTCATATTAGTTTTTTGCAAGTGATAATTGGAATTAATCTTGTTCCCTTAAGCACATGGATTTATTTCTCAAACCAGATATAACTCAAATCTAACTCATAAATTAACCGAAGGCTTGAGATAGCCTTGTTGCCAATTCAAGGCTTGATCACAATAAAACTTGCAATGTTTTAAGATTTCTAGGTTGAAAGTACGTACAAATTGGCTCATCACCCCATAAAGAAGATAGATAAGCAAAAGGAAAAACGCAGTAATTTTAAATGTTAACATTCATTCACACTAGATTGACAAAGCCAATGTCCATGCTAGAATGAAGTGGTTAGTACTTGGCAATTGAAGAGATTATCCTTACCGACTGCATGTTAATAAAATAACCTGGAAACTAAAAGCAGATCTCACCTCTTTAGGCCAACAATGATAAATAAAATATTTCATAAGATTTTCTCAAAAATTCTTATCAACTTTCTCATGTTTGTTAATGCGCATATGAAGTTATTCCATCGAAACAAGCAACATAAAATAGCATCACTTGGCAATATTCTGACACCTTTTAAAATAAAAAAAATCCTTAAATATGGTGCATCGCCTTTATAGGAACTAATTTCCTCTAATTTGATATGATTGTTCTACTCTTGCTACTTTGCAAATCTCAAACTTAACAAGCCATTGGTCCCCATGTTAACAAGGTGTGCAGTGAATTGGAGATGTTCATAAGGTGATTGGATATCTGATTGTTGTTGAAACCAGATCTGTTCAGTGGAATTTAACTGACTCTAAACTCAATACAATTGGGATCACAGAGTTCTGAGGGCCAGAAGGGAGGATTTAGTTCAAGAATTACTTCAAGGAATAGAACAAACTAAACAAACTGAAAATTAAACTTCCAGGTGAATTTTCTTCAACTATACACAAATAAATATAGAAATACATAGACACGAACATTCATACATTAGGGATGGATCTACTCACCAATTCCACGGCTTGCCCCAGTAATCCAGACGACCTAGTCATTTACATAGAAAAATACAGCATTTACAGCAGAAATCAAATGGAGAAACCGCATTCGAGTAACCAATCACACCTTGCCTTCCACTCGCTCGCGCTTCGCCCGACCCTTGGATAGCAAAGTAAAATCCCCTAGCCACAAAGCATCATCACACAACTAGGTGAATTTGCAGTGAAGAAAAAAAGAAAAAGATTACCGTTTCGAAATATAACCATCTGCCGTTGCGAACTTCGCGAGAAAGGCTCCGATCACGGCCACGGAGAGAGAGCCGATAACAAATGCCAGCATTGTCGTTCAACAGGACGCACTGATAGAAAGCAATCAGATCCGGCTATGCCCTCTTTAAATGGATAAATAACACAGAAATAAGTATCCGCCATCACTATCCTAGCAACAGGGTAGAAACAGGGTCCCGGAGGAAGAAGACGACGATAGCACTGTCCAGAAAATTTCATGTAAGCTGAAAAAGTCGGAGCACTGTCCAGAAAATTTCATGTAAGCTGAAATGTCCAGAAAATTTCATGTAAGCTGAAAAAGTCGGAAAATTTCATGTAAGCTGAAAAAGTCGGATGAAAAATTCAAAATGTGCCATTATAGTGAAATGAAAATTGATTAAATATATCTATTATTTATTCTTAAGAATGGAAAATGCTTTTCCAAATAAAAGTACTTCTAATTAGGGCTGTAAACGAGCCGAGCTTGAGCGAGCTCAGGCTTGGCTCATGTTCGGCTCGTTCGAAATCGGCTCGTGAACAGTGTGTGCTTGTTCGGCTCGATTTAAACATTTGTATTCATGTTCGGCTCGAAATTGACTCGTTAAACTAAAATTGAGAAAAATAGATGTAAATTATGGGATTCGAACCTGGATCAAATCTATACAAAAGAAGACACTAACCACATTGCTACATGAGGTGTTATGATTTAAACTTAGACATAAATATATTTAATATATTATTATATAAATAATATATATAATATATTATTATATAAAAAATTATATAATTTTTTTTTCGAGTCATTTCGAGTCGAACACGAGCAAACAAACTGTTGGTCGTGTTCGGTCGTTAGGCTTAACGAACGAGCCGAACACGAGTCGAACACGAGCTGCTTAGCGAGCCGAACACGAGCTGTTCACGAACAACGAGTCAAATTGACAGCCCTACTTCTAATATGAAACAATTTTTTTTATATTTATGATTATTTGTTGAAGTCAATGTATATAGGAAAAATTCAGACATTTTTAAACTTGTAATAGTTCAAACTCATCTTGATATTTTATTTGAGCTTAGATTTAAATTATGTTATTATTTTGGGGTTGTTTGGTTTGAATAGAAGCAAATATAATATAAATACTACAATGCAACTAAAATGAGGTATATATGAAATGATTGGGTTATTTGAATCATCGTAAAACCCAACAACGAGCTATGAGTGAAAGGTGACAATTGCAACAGATCGATTGGTGGCAATAGTGAGTGACAAGTGGTGCTTGTTGGCTAATGTGTGGCAATGTCTGCAAGTTAATTAGCTGTATTGGCCAACATGTGGCATTCAGTCAAGGGTGACAACATTAATAACAGGCGATAATAGCTAGACATGGTGGCTACTTCCGTGATGTATTTGAATATCCACTGAACTGATTCATTTGTAAATGTGTTCAACATTATGAATTCTAATTCCATCAAAACTTTACATTTCATTTTATTTACATCTATTCAAATGCTGAAATTTAACATTCTCATGCATTTAGTTTGTTTTGCACCACTAATGTAAGCAAACAAAAAGCTCTTTTATTCTTTTGATTAAAGTCTGAACCTAGTTTGAATATGGCTTGAATTCAAACGTCAGTTTGAATATGTTGAATCACAAGAGAGTTGTGGTCATGAAGCACTCCATCACACATTGTGCTCCTATTGATGGCTTCCCTAGCAAGCTCTCATTACAAGCTGCTCTTCTGCTTTACATGCCATCATGTCTTTCGATGCCTTTCCTCAACAAGCTCCTATTGTAAACACATTTCTCCTTCATATGCCATCATTCTATCGACCCCTTTCTTTATTAAGTTCATGTAGTGGATGTCACTTCACTTAACTACAATATCAGTCTTATCATACACCATTGCTCTCATTAATGTCATCTCCAGGTATTCACAAATAACAGTGTTTCTTTGTGAATAGTAAGGTATGTAATGACATCATAAATCCATTTGATTTCCTTACAACAAGATCCACCCCTTGGTTTGATTCTAGCTTTAAATAAGATTCTAACTAGTTTAAATTTTGTTCAAATGTAAAATTGAAACTTTATGAATCGGGTTCAAACTAGGTTAGATGCAACACTGAATCTTTTGAGATACAAATGAGGTTAAAACAAAGGTTTGAATTCAAACTAGTTAGAACCAAATTTGCTTGCGATAGACCTTAATAAGTTGATCACATATATACGATTATGTATTTTTCATATGAAATAACATTTTTATAATATTTTCCCAAAAAATAAGCAATGGGAAGAATTTTCCAACTTTCACTATTATGAAGCATATGATGTCAATTCTCTCTTTCATTTTGAATAAAACTTAATAATTGTTATATTTTAGTTTAATTTTTTATATTTTCCACAATATAATATAAAACTAAAACTTTACTCTTTTAAATAATTTTACATAAAAAAATTAAATTTCACATAATTTAACCATAAGAATCAACACTATTCTATTTAATAAATAAAAATACATGTAATGTTTTTGTTGTTTGGTTGATTATTTATTGTGATTAAATATGGATTAATGTATTAATTTTATGAAAAATTCTAAAACAATTACATGAAACAAATTTGTTATAACAGATGCTAATTTATTTACATAAAAAGTAAAAAAACAAGAAAAATCTTATAAGCCTAACAAGTTGAAATGATATATCATATTTGTGGTTATAAAAATTCACTCTTCTCCACCATGGAGAAGATGGAACTGCAAATTTAAGGGAACTTGATTAGCTCTTTGATACTGATAAAATTAATGGAGTGTGATAACAACAGTCAAACAATGACATTTTGATAGGCACAATCAGACAATGGTGATAGAAAGATGACAATCTAGCACAATGATAAAAATATAGAAGTTGATAATCAAACAATATGAATTAAGTAGTGTTATTATGATAATAATGATTATATGACAACAACTGAGCAATGACATTCATATAATAGTAGTTATTAGTCGTGGTGGTCAGATAATAATCTCAAGTTCCTTAACTCTTCAAATACTCTCAAATTTTAAGTTTAGATATTTTTTATCTGAAAATTGATTTTTGATCTATAATTCCTTAAGGTGATATGTTTATTATTTTTGCTAAATCAAAAAATACCCCATCAATCGACATGTGTAGTTTCTTTTAATTGTGGACCATCATTCAGTATTTAAGAGTCTTAATGTCATAAAAAATGAGTGTTCTTAGATTCATTGAAATTTTTGTATCAAAATGCTTAATTTAACTAGACACATGTAAAATTAAAGATTTTTTAACTCCATAAATAATATTCTAGAATTTTTAATCATACTTAAATTTTTTGACTAAAACTTATTTAGACTCAGATGTGATAACTTTTAGTATTGTTGAGTATGTATCATTAAGATATTTAGTTTTTATATAAGTTTGTTGCAATCATATTTTAAATAGTTTCAAATTTAATCCAAAAAGTTTTTAGTTCAATTATTACATCAAGATAAATATTAGATCAAGTGGATTTTTTTATAATATATTATTTGCCATTCTATTTTTGAGTGATAATTTTCTTTTTAATTCAAGAAAAATATCATTTAAAAAAATGAACTAGGCAAATTTATGCATGATATAGTATATTATCTCTTATTATTATTAATAGTGTATTAGACCACCTTACGATAAGACTTTATGATGAAAATTTATCATAATTTTCATCTTAAATTTAATAATGTCATTCTTCTAATATTTATAATTCTTAATGATAAAAACTAAATATAAATATTATCTTTAAACTTTGCAATTCTACTCCTCCAATATTTATAATGTTTCATATGGAAGATTGAGTGTAAATCTTGCATTTAAAGTTTATAAATGCCTCCAATATTAAAAACTTCTATTTATTATTTCAAGTATAAATAATGAAGGAAAACTCACTCATCTCAACTTTTTCTTTTGTCAACTTTAATTCCTTCGACTAAAAAGATTCAACCTTATATTTTATATTTAAAGTATTATATTTTTATAAGCTCAAACATTTTTTTTATACTTGGAGTTTTGAAAAACCCATATAGGTGAGGTATTGTTTTTTTTTCTTTTATATGATATGATTGTGAAAGAGAAACAAAACATCATAAGCTGGTGAAGTGTTCAACCTTTATGAGCTTTAATTATTTTATAATGGGAGTATTGAATTAATAATTCACCTTCATATGTTCAATATGGTGATGTAGAGATGCCAACAAAGAAACCCAAGAAATATTGATAATTTACAAGGTTTGTTGATTTTTCTTTTTCTTCAATAGTTTTTTTCTCTCTTATATTTTCATATTTTTAATAAGGTTTTAGCATCATGTTTTTAATATCATTTATTTGTTTGTATTTTTTTAAAATCTCGTTATGATTTCTAGCATTTTGTTTTATTTTTAAAATTTACATTTTAAAAGTCATGTTAATAAAATTTTGATCTTTCTATTTTAAATGAATTTCTATTAAAAATTTTTATCTTCAAGTAATTCTTAACTTTGTTGTGAATGTTGATGATATCATTGACAATTTACTTTAATTTTTTTATATAAACAATATCATCATTTGATACAATAAATTATTGACAAAATTTAGCTTTTTTGGAATTTACTATTTGTAAGATTTAAAGTTCAAAAAAGTATTTCAATTTATCCACTTGATGAAGGTAGCCACATTGAAAGTTGGGGTTTTGACCATCCCAATAGGTTGGGTAACAATGCCAAAATGTTTGAAAGAATAAGAGCATATGGGGATTTTGAAGGACTAGTTGATGGAGGAACCCATATTTGGAACCAAACTAATATCTCCCCTCCTTGATTGAAGATAAGCTCAATTTGGTCCTTAGCACATTTAATTGAAGTTAAGTTGATAATGGTGAGATCATTGAAAACTAGAAATCAAACACCTTTTTAGTACCCAAGGCGCCCTTAAGTTATCCTTAAGACGCTTGGATTTTGGAATCTAATTCAAAGCCTTTGGAGCCTCTGAGTTCTTCTAGACCCACCCTTTAACTTAAGGTTAGATCAAACCACTTAAAGCAGTCCACCCATAGTAAACTGTTGACCTCATTTTCGGTCAATCTTATTTTTTGGGCTTAAGCTTTACTGGACTTTGCTTGAGTTTGGATTTGAGCAAATCATACCTTAAGAAAATTTAATTTTTAACTTAATAAAATCAAAATAAATTAAAAAATCTTTAAAC